CACACTGCAGAAGTCATTCTCTCTCTTTGAACCCGTCTCTAACTCACCCTGAACGTGGTCATCCACACACATCACGTCTTTACCAAGGCCGTTCCTGTTTATCACATCCTATGGTAATAACCACTTGTTCACAGGACTGTCACCCCACACTGCAGAGACAGCAGTGGTGACTTACTCATCCCCGTCTCCAGAGGGTGAAGCCCGCTGCCGGACACGTAGTGGGTGCTGGGTAAATACTGGTACGAATGGGTACTGTGCTTCAAATCCAGATGACTTACCCCATAATTAAGGACACATACCCTTATATGAACTGTCCCCGGAGAGCCTTGCTTTTCATTTTGTTTGGTGTTATCTTACCAGCTTGGCATTCATTTGTGAACCGTAAAACCAATTTCCAAAGGTTTTTTTTTTACCTGTCAAAAACAGAAGTGGGCAGGCTTGTAAAGAAAGCTTCAGTGCTTCAACTCAAAGTCCAGGAGTTGAACTTTGCACACTTCGTGATAACTGTCTGCTCTTCACAGCTGTGTGCCCGGAGGTTGAAGGTTCTAGGTAAAATGATCTAAGGATAAACTTCCTCACCAAAAAGTAAACGGATTCTATTTGAGGACAGGTACAGCGTAAGGGCAGACTGCTTTATTCACAGCATCCTTTGCTTGCTCGCCTGTTCAAGACAGTTCTGGCCGGAGGCTGGTCTGTGTCATTACTGTCAAATTTTAAACAGAGTCTACGTTCCTACAGAAGTAGGGAACACAGCCATGGTTCTTACAGTTTTATGAGACAACAGTAGATTAGGCCTCTACACGCGGAACGAAGGCTAGTTTCTTGTGCAAATACCTTGTGTTAATTCTTTGCTCTGGAGAGCTGTCTCGCACCACCCTGGATGCCATGGTGGGCTAATTTACTTCAGCATTTCTCAGTGTGATCTCGAAGACTCCTGGTTGGGAAGTGGGGTCTCCAAGCCCTACCGGGAGATCCGAGAGCACACAGCTCTTTTCATACTACTGCAGACACTCTTGTTCTGTCTTGAGTGCACGCTGGCCTTTTCCAGAGCTACATGACACGGGATGACATCCCCACTGACAGCTAATGGAATGTGCGCTTGCGTGGTTTTGTGTTGTAACATTCTCTCAATTCTGATGCCTGATGCAGTAAACACTGATACGGTCCAAATGAGCAAATCTCCTTCAATAAATGTTCATTTTAATTGTCCTGAGACAGTCCATAGGAAATGCCAGAATACACGGACCGCTTTCTGTACCAGCTGTCGCAAAGGCACCCTCAAATCCTAACTCTTCAGTTCCTCAGATAATCCTCAAACATTGGGGGTCATTTTAGGACCCCCAGTTCATGTATGAGAAAACAGGGCCTCCAACGGTAAGGAATAGGGCCTGTGTACACGTCTGCTCAGTACGTGTCAAAGCCAGGACCGGCTACATAACGGGTGGGGTCCAGCGTTAATGAAGATGCAGGAACACTTGCTCAAAAATTAAGAATTAACAATTTCCAGATGGCAGCACCAGAGCACTAAACTAAGTGCAGGACCCTCCTGAGTAGCGGTCCGAGTAAAAAGCGCGGAGCTCAGTGCCACAGCCCAGGTGACAAGCCCGGAAGCCGGCACTGGCCACGGTCAAATCCCTCTGATCCCGGGATTGACATGCCTCCCAGCGGCTTTCACAGCCGGGTCTCCTGTGCTCATCTCCCTCGTGTCTTCAGGCTGTGGGGTGTTTTTTTTCTCCCTTCTTTATCTTCCATCCACTTCCGAAGTTTCCATCTCTTGAAGTCCTGTGGTTTTGTGTTCTGTTATGCCCCAGCATGGACGCACATTCAAGCTCTGACTCTTGTTTCCTTTTCTGCCCTCCCGATTTCCTGAGGGAAGCGTCACTTCCTGCACAGTGACACGTGCTGACTCTGGACTGCGTTCTTAGTTATGATTTTTAAAACATCGTAAAAGCAAAACAAAGAGTTCTTTAACTGTATGAAATAGTAGAAAGCATAATTAAACGGCCGCAGGTATGATACAGCCTAACGATGCAAGGAACCCCAATGTGTTTTAAAATGAATATAGACAAGCCACTTAGAACCATTACTGACCGTCAGGAAACTGAAGTACTTTTCTCTGAGGCATATACAGGAGATGAAAATACGTTTTCACAGCACTGCTTAAGTATTGTTCTCAACAGCGCCCTCTGAGAAACTGGCAAACTGTCAAACCCAGTGGATTGCTATCTTACCCTTATTTTTGTAACTAAGTTATAAATTACCTGTGTCACTGTTTCACCAAGTCCCTGTGGTTTTAAGTGCAAATGCATGAAACCTGACAAACATCCTTCAATCCTACTTAATTCCTAAACTTCCCAAAGAGAACAGCCTGCCTGTATTTTTTTTCTTTTGGTTGTCTTTAAAGACTGATACTTTAAAGCATCTGTGCGTTTGCTTGACTTGACCTAGTTTCTAGTCATGTTGAAAGTCCTACTGTACTTCCTTTTCATTTAGGTCCTTAAGAGAGGCTAACTACAGGAAGGGCAACCCGAGGAAAGGCCAGAGGAACTCCCCGTGCAGTGCACACTGCATAATAAAATACATCATTCCTCACCAGATCCTATCCGATGGCTACAGTGAGCTCAAAGAAAGAGCCGAGGGGTAAAGAAAAAAACAGTTTCACTAGAACAGATTAAGCAAAAGTTAAAAGGTTAAAATCTTCCTCTTTTGAAAAAAGTCAATATGAGTAATTGGGGGGGGGAACTAGCTATTCTAAAGTGGGAAAGTAAACTCAGGTCAGTCTAGAATCTGAGGAAAGACAACATAATGAACAAGAACAAAAAATACATTAGATCAGGATTAACAAAGCAATCATGACAGGGTTTTAAAATAATATGCTCAGAGAGCTAAAGGAAAACTGTATGAGATGAATTAAAAACATGTATTATGAAGCAGGACTAAATTAGAGGTTAAGAAATGGAAACAATAAGAGATGGGCTGTTAGTAGAGTGGACAAAATCAGACTCATATGGAAGTAGCTGTTTATGAGGTCCATGGAGAGAGAAAAGAGATGAAAGAGGAAGGAGTAACAGCTGAAAAAAAGGTAAGAATGACTGAGATTCTCTAAGAAGTGAATCCAGGGATGACCATATAGTCTCTTCAAACACAAAAGCTTTGTTTATAAAAACTGACCATAAGTGGAATTTGTATACATTCCCCCAAAACTCATACCTTACAAGACCCCATTCATTGATTACAATGCATTATATGAGAACCCAACAATGAAAATGAGGCCCCAGATCCTTATACATAGACACTGAAGTCCCCTTATGCTTAGATTAAATTTAATTCATGGGGTACAGAGGTAATAAAAATAGTAATTACAGTTTCTTAAAACTAAATGATGGGGGGGAGGGTATAGCTCAGTGGTAGGGTGCATGCTTAGCATGCACAAGGTCCTGGGTTCAATTCCTAGTACTTCCTCTACACATAAATAAATAAACCTAATTACCTCCCCCGAAATAAATAGATAAGTAAATAAAATTTTTTAAAAATGATGGAGGCACTGCATTTCAAAACCTAGTAGGATGTAGTCAAACTACACTTAGAGGAAAAAATGTATAATCTGAGCTGCATATATTGGAGAAAAGATTAAAAATAAAGGAAGTTTCAACTCAAGAAGCCACAAAAGAACCACATAAATCCACAAAAAGTACAGGGAATTAAGAGATAAAAGCAAACTGTAATGGTATTGGGGGGCAAGGAGGAAACGGATTCAAGTCTAGCCAAAAATACAACTTTGGGGAAATGGTGAAGGAAAAAAATAGAGAAGGCGTAATTTATTTATCATTGGGAAGAAAAAAAAGTCTACCACTTACCTATAGTTCTCAAATGTTTCAAAAATTGTTAAAATTTGCTTAGGTGTGATTATTATGTTTATTTAAGTTCTTATCTTTTAGAGTTTTATACTAAGTTATTAATGAATAAAATACCTGCGATTTGCTTCAAAATCCACGGGGAGCAAGCAGACATGAAACAAGACTGGCTGTGAGCTGATAGTTATTCTAAGTGATAGCTCTGTGTGTAGTTTGACATTTTCTTTAATCAAAGGTTAAAAATAGAAATATTTTAAAACAAATAACACATTTAAAACTACAGCTCTACAGAAATAAATTATAACACTCCCTGATCATAATAAATGATACTTGGTGGACACATGGTATATACTGTCTCTGTTCTCAGCCACTGACGTGTATCAGCTCAACACATAAGCTCTAGTCTCCCCAGCTGTGAGACCCTGGCCGGTCACTTCACCTGGATGTGCCCTGCCTCTTCAACCTCAAATGCGCGTAATAACAGCACTACAGCATCGGATGATTCTGAGCGTCACACTGGAACCTGTAAGAGCGCCTGGCACGCAGAGCACAGCGCACATCAGTGGTTACTACTAACTCAATAAAAGGATGAGTTTTCAAACTGTGAAGACCCACTGAGTTTGGACCACATTTGAACACACAGAATAAGACAGAGAAGATTTAATGTAACCTTGATTAAGAAAAACAAGGCTAGCACAGAATGGAAAAAGATAGGCCGGTGTTACTTACCTGAGTATGGGTGCCAAGGTCTAAATAAAACACTGTCAGAAAAAACCCAGTATGTTACATTAAAAGAATGACATACGTCATGAAAAAGTACAGTTTATCCTAGGAATATACAAGTAGTTAAATGGTACCAAAAAAAATCTTCTCAGTAAATTCAGGATACTATGAAAGGAATTTCTCTTTAAAAAAAATCAATAAACATTGGAAAGCATACAATAAAATAACACCCACTCACAGTCCCTATCCCCAAAAGGAAACACTCTTAGCAAACCAGAAGTCAGAAGCATCCTCTCTAACTTCATAAAGTTACTTCTCAGAAGCCAACAGCAAGTATTTTTATTCAATATTAAAAACTTGGAAACCTCACCATTACCGAACAAGTATGATACCTCTTCACAATGTCAGAATGCAAAATCTATTGATATCCTAGCTGATGCAGTAAAAAGCAAAAGACGGAAGAAGCTTTCAAGTTCGAAAGAGACAGAAGTGGCATTATTGGCAGATAAAGATGTAGCCAAGTTCCGAGAGAATCCACAAATTATTAGAACTTAAAGAGTGCTGCGTGGCTGGGTGCAAGTTCACCACGTGAAAGGCAGTAACTTCCCTATATATCAGCTGAAACCGAACAGTAATGTCATAAAAGAGGCCATTCTTCAGAGTAACAGAAACTCTACGGTACCTAGGAATTCACAATGAAATTGGTAAAGACTATGAAGAAAACTGTGAAATCTATTTTTAAAAGACCTGAATAAATGGAGAAAAGACATCATGTTCATGAACAGAAAAACACAAAGATACTAATTTCCTCACGTCTATCTGTATATTCAATGCAGCCTAACCAAAACCCCAGCAAAACTTTTTGTGTTCCTTGACAGTCCAGTGTCACAATTAACGTGAAACAGGACGGGACAGCGTAGAAGGGTAGAGGTCTATGGAAATAAGCATACAAGTGGAAAATGAAAATATGTATGTTTGAAGTACAAAAAAATCACAGTGCTCATTTCAGCAGCACACATACTAAAATTCAAACAATACAGAGAAGATGAGCATGGCCCTGGCACAAGGATAACATACCAATTTGGGAAGCAGTCCATATTTTTTAAATTAGGGCTTGGGGATTAACAGACACACGTTACTCTGTATAACAAGGACCTACTATATAACACAGGGAAGTATATTCAGTATCTTGTAATAACATAAATGGAAAAGAATCTGAAAAGAAAATATTTATGTAGGTATATGTATAACTGAATCACTTCACTGTACACCTGAAACTAACACTGTAAATCAACTACACTTCGATAAAACATTTTTGGAAAGTGAAACAGTAAATGTAGAGGCAGCCAAGACAATACCTAATAAAGCAAGTTTCCGCAATTATGACTTATTAAAAACCTATAGGAATTTAAACAAATGCGGGGAAATATAGTATAAAAAATAAGCAGATTTAAGGGCCAAAGTAGTTCAGAAACAGGCCTGCGTATATGAGAATTGAGTATATGATAAAAAATGCAAGTCACATCAACGAGGAAAGATGAGACTATGCAATTAACCACTGGGACAAGTGGTCATCCGTAGCTATAGGAACTAAAGTCAGACTCCAACCTTACATCAAAACAAGAATAAGAGTCCAAGGAATTAAACAATTAAATGTAAAAAATAAAACAGAAAAATGGAGCAGAATACATTTTAATTAGTGGGTTAGAGAAAGCATTCTCAAACAAGTCTCAAAAGAAGCCAGAGCAAAAAAGATCAATAAATTTGATGACATCTAAGCTACACGTCAGCTTAACAGAAACGATCACAATGTTAAGAGAAACAAGAGACTGGAAAACATACTTGCAAGACAGAAAATATAAAAGAACTCAAATAAATTCATTTAAAAGGGACAGACCTAATAGAAAAACGGCCAAAATACATTCATACACAATTTCAGAAGAAGAAATACAGATAGTCAATAAACACAGAAGACGTTCAGCTCCCCTGGTCATCAAGGAAAGGCAAATTAAAGCATCTGGAAAATCCAGTTCTTCACCCCTCAGCTTGGCCAAAGCCAGACTTGGAAATGATGAAGAGAAACAAGTATTCTCTTGCTGGGAGGAGTACGGACAGGTAACGGCCACTTGGCAGAGAAGTACGGCAGCATCTTTAGAACTGAAAATGGGTCCGTCTGGGCCTACTTCTGCGCGGGGTGCCGGGCCCCTCTGCACCGCTCCGCTCGTGCGCAAGGACAGAGCGTAAACGGCCACCCGTGGGGAAACGAGGGTGTGCGTGCGGCAGGTGAAACCGCGAGCTGGACTGACGTGTCCCCAGATTCCTAGCTCTGGGACGGCTGTACCTCAACGGCCAACAGTTTTTCCCTTGGACAAGTTAGCTCTGAAGTGGGCAAATAAGTCGGCCTCATTTGCATCACAGGGGCCACGCTAATCGTCTCTGTACTGTTCTCTGTCATGTTTTTATTTTCACGTAACAGTACTTTTAGAAACTGACTATTTAACCATTTTTAACAGAACAGCGGACACAAAGCATCTAAATTCCAGTCTCATTTCTACTACCAGCCAGCAACACCACCTTGAACAATTCATTTAGTCCATCTGTTTTCCCATCAGTAGGATGGAAACTATGTGCCATCACAGGTTCCGGGAAAAACTGGAGATGCCAACCTGGCCTGATGAAAAAGTGCTACCCTGCTCAGTGTTTTTTTGTGTCGGGGTGTGAAGCAAAGAGAACCATATTTTTCCAAGAATTTTATAGAAGGTGCTCATATTTGGAAAGTTCCACTTCAATGCCAGAAATAATTACTAAATATGAAACTCGGTTTCAGAATTCTCTGACTGCATTTTTAACCACATATTTCCATTTTTATTCATATTCTGGAAGTTCAGTTTAGCTGCTTGGGATCGTTAAAACAAATTTTTTCCAGAGCCTTCCACCACTTTCTACTTGTCCAATAACCTCTAGTTAAAATTCTCAAATATTATTTTTCCTATTGTATCACCCACCTCGTCCCCGACAGTAAATCTTACAGCCCTCCCAAGTCTTGAGTTTGAATTTCTCACTTCATGTTAGGTACCAAGCTAAACGTCTGGTAAAGCCAGTCTGAGAAATTTCACACTCAGCAAATGTCGCCTGTGCACTCACCTCTCAGTCTCTCCCCTTGCCCCGCATTCCATTCACTTTTGTGTTCTATACAGTCTGCTTACCTTCCATGTACACATGTGATGGTAATTTCACTCCAGTGTATTCAGTCCTTTAGTGAATCTGAAATCGATTTTTTTTTCCTCCCCAAGGTAGGTGCAGTTTCAGCAGGAATGCTGTGTGCCCTGACCACCTTGTCCCAGCAGCTGGAGAATGAAAATGCCGTGGATGTTTTCCAGGTTGCAAAAATGATCAATCTTATGAGGCCTGGAGTATTCACAGACATTGTAAGTACTCTGCTTATTTGTGAACCCTGTATAACATCAGTTGAAACTCTGGCTCGCCCTTTACAACAGTGGTTCTTACCTGGGGGTGATTTTGCCCCCTAAAGGATGTTTGGCAATGTCTGGAGACTTTTTTTGATTGTCACAAGTGGGGATGGAATTTAGTGAGTAGAGCCCTGAATGCTGCTAAAGGTCCTACAGCGCCTAAGACAGCCTTCCACTAAATGCTTGGGACTTTTAAGATTTGCAAATGTTAACCACTATACATAAAGATAGATTTAAAAAAAATTTCTGTATAGCACAGGGAAGTATATTCAATATTTTACAAAAACTTTTAATGAAAATACGAAAATGAATATATGTATATATTTGCATGACTGAGACATTGTGCTGTGCACTAGAAATTGACACACTGTAATGGATGTACCTCAATTTAAAAAAATTAATTAATTTTTCTAAAAAAGACAGCCCTCCACAATAAAGAATTACCTAGGCCAAATGTCAAAAATGCTAAGGTTGAGAAACTGTTTTCTAGAGTATAGCATTCTCAGGTTATAAAACACGGGTATCCTGTTATCTCAATGGCCTGTCAACACTGAGAATTCATTCCAAGGTAGCAGAGATCAAAAGGACACGAAGAATGAGTAGGTCTGGATTACAGAGGATTCCAGTGATTCTTTGTGACGTTTCTTGGCGTGAACACATACTCCTGTTTCTCTAGTCTGTTTTTCGGTCACAGTTTGGGTCGGCATTTCCACCTGAGGCGAAGTGATGAAGCTGTCCTTTGGCTCAAAGTGTCTCCCTCTTGTTTTCCAGGAACAATACCAGTTTGTCTACAAAGCAATGCTCAGCTTGGTCAGCACTAAAGAGAACGGAAATGGTCCCATGACGGCGGACAAAAACGGTGCTGTTCTGATTGCAGATGAATCGGACCCTGCCGAGAGCATGGAGTCTCTGGTGTGATCGGGACCCTGCAAGGGCACTTCATTTGTAAACCTTCTGAAGACTGAGAACTTTTTTGAGGCCTTTTTTGCCAGACTCTAGGTTATAACAATAACCCAGTTACTTTTTTACACTGATAAAAGTTTTGATATTTATTTTTTGCCATTTTATGTCTTAATGGTATCCTACTGAGCATTTGCACCTCTGTTCATTTCACACGGTGAAACGCGATCTTACCTAGTTTGCACTATATGATCAGTGTTACTGCCTATAATCTAATACTAAAGCGAGCCCTGATGTGACATTCCATGACTGCATACACGCTACTTTTTAATTCAGTACAGTGAAGGTCTTTGTTATGACAGTGAATCTTGATTTTTTTTTTAATCATTATTATTATTGCTCAAGTAGTTGCATTCTACTAGCAGGCAATGCTGTACTTTTCCTCAGTCCTCCTCTCCTGTTTTTTTGTTTGTTTGTTTGTTTTTAAGGCACTGTTGAATACTGAATGCCTTCTGTATCTTAACGGAGTGGATGAACATTTATCCTTTTAGAGAATAGCAGGTTTTGGGGAGCTACTAAAAAGGTCTGCCAACCTCACGGCCTTGAAGGAGTTCCATTTACGAGGGTGAAGATGTCCATTAAGAAATTAGAAGGTTTAAGAGTTGTTTCATGTGAACATCACTTATTAGTTACAAACTTATATTCATAGCTTTAAAAAAAATGCCCAACTGTGTCAAAATAAAGGATCTCTCTGTATTACAGTTTTCACAATAGCTATGTGGACAGTGTGTGTTATTTCCATTTTGCCTCCCTGAAATAGCTACACCCCAAAATCGAGGCCATCTTTTACAAAAGAGAAATGGCAATATTTCACACACCTCCAGTCATGAAACCCTTTAGTGAAGCCTCCATTACTGCTTCACGGTTTCTAATGCCATACCTCACAGCAGGTGGAATAACGAGAATTTTTGCAGGTGTGTAATTTTGAAACGAGTCCTCTAAGATATTCCTATCACTCGTATATCGATCTAATAAAAAAAAAACTACCTATATAGCTAACATTCTTTTCTTTCCTTTTTTACCAAATGTTTCACAATAAATCTCGTAATTGTATACATTCTTCTGTTTAGGATTAAGTTGAAAATCCCGTATTAGCAAGAGTCTTGGGACTATCCAGACTCCCACACAGGGATAAATCAGACTTAGAGAAAATCAGAATCTTGAGTAAAAGGGGATAGTGACACTTTCAAATGGTTTTTAAAAGGAGGAGACAACGTTGTGTGCTTCTGTGTAGTCTAGGCTTAGGAACAGCAGATTCACTTCCGTAAGAGAGGCTGCTCATCATTACAGAGCCCAACCAAGGAGGTGACCTCTTGGAGCTGTGTTCACCCTGCAGTGCATCATGGGAAAATCAGGAGCATCAGTTAGAAAAATAAGCTCCTTACTGAGATCTGCTTCCTCTGCTGCATATTTGCTTTTCAGGGACAACGTCTGTCAGAAGCGAAGCCATCACCAGAACTGGGCCTGTTAAAAAGAAAAGGGTTTGGGGTTTGTTTTTTTTTTTATGTCAATAAACTTCAACAAAAAGTCCACATGGGTTACTATCATACTGTCTGGATAGGCACTGAAACATTCATGATAACCAGCACTGAGATGCTGCTTATCTTGAGGTGGCTTTCTGTGAAGCCTGTCAGAGAGGAGCTGAAGGCCCCAAGCTGCGAAGGA